CTTCTTCACAAACTAGCATCCTATGGCTTACCACCTCAGCTATGCTTCCGTCTATCATGTTTTTTTTTCGACAGATCACCTCATGCGGTGGTGGATGGAGATTGGAGAGTCGCCTGATACCGTAGCCATCAACAATGGCGGATTTACCAGCAGGCTGAGTAGGCTGGAGCCTAGGGTGGCAGATTTTAGGGGGCGGCAAATTTTGCCCAAAAATGTTTGCCTTGGGAAAATTTAACAAAAACTGTACTGCACAGTATACTGAACATTCTAACCTCGGTATACAAAAAATTACAAACTCCTATACAGGGTGTCTGTAAAAGGTTGGGATGGCTAGGTTATGAACTCCTGGGATAAAAACAAGTTGATTTAGGCCAACTCACCTATGTCCAATAGGTTGGCGTTGAAGTTTTTTTGGAAAAAAATAATTTTGGTCATAAAAAGAGTAGGCTGAGATCGATTCTCATAATTTTTGGCATGGCATGTTCTGTGACTGTAAGTCACGTTTTGAAATGTTTTTGATCATTATCAGTGACCTGCAAGTGTTTCAAACAACCATGTTGCCGTACAAATTTGGTGATAACTTTTTAGAGGTCGGACTGGCAACTTTTTTTCAGAAAGATATTCCCTTCAGAAATATTTTTTGTATCGTGATAATTTTTGATAAGTCTCGAGGTTCATTTGCAATAAATAATTTCTGATCTGAGGCATCTTATGCATTTTTTAGAAAAATAATCTGGTTAGGACATGGCTTGACTGTAGACTCCTGGGATAGAAATTAATCGATTTTAGCCAACTTACCTATATCCAAAATCGTCTTGTTGAGTTGGTACAAGGCATTAAAGTTCCCACCTTAGGTCCTGAATAATTATCACTAAATTTGTAACGCGAGAGTTCTTGTAAATCCCGCGAGGACCAGCAACATATCAGTTTGTTAACAATAAGAATAGCCATGATCAATAAACAGTCCGACTAATTAGATTAATATTCGAAAATGCGCAGGATGCATCATCCCAGAAATTATTTATTTGCAAATGAACCTCGAGACTTATCAGAAATTAACACGATACAAAAAATATTTCTGAAGGGAATATCTTTCTGGAAAAAAAAACTGGAAGTTTCCAGTCTGACATCTGAAAATGTATCACCAAATTTGTACGGCAACACGGTTGTTTGAAACACTTGCAAGTTACTGATGATCAAAAACAACTCAAAACGTGACTTACAGTCACAGAACATGCCATGCCAAAAATTATGGAAATCGATCTCAGCCTACTCTTTTTATGAGCAAAATTATTTCTTTCCGAGACAACTTCAACGTCTTGCACCAACTCAACGAGACGATTTTGGATATAGGTGAGTTAGCCTAAATCAACTAGTTTTTATCCCAGGAGTCCAGAGCCGAGCCATGTCCCAACCTTTTACAGGCACCCTGTATATGTAAAGTATACTATTTGTGATCATCGAAACTTTGTCTGTTTGCTCTAAATATTTATTCCCCTTTTTCCACATTTTTGCTGAAGTTGGGGTAGGTTAATTTACGCCGGCGAACAACAGGAAATAACATTGCAATGTGAATTCAAATTAATGTTGAAATCACTCAAATCTCATGGGGAAAAAACAACCAATCTTATTGAATAAAACATTGTGTTTGATTTTTATGGTTCGCGCAGATGCTACTACCGAAAGTTGATCAAAATACCTTCTTTTTTATATCTCTTGGAGCGCACGAAAGAAAATTCCTATAATGCTCGTGCAACCTCGCGCGTACCTAGGGAGGATAGGGAGAGGAGGCAGGTGTTGGATTGTTTTCAACTCTCACAGAAATTCTTGGGAATACTTCCATTGGCAAAGAATTCCAAAGCTTTGCCGTTCTATAGACGAACGACTTTTGATAGAGTGTTGTTCGACACTTTTCAAGGTTAACGACGAAGGCGTGTTCTGATTGATTCTATAGAAAAGTGAAATGTAGCCGATTTTTCAACGGTGTTCTAAAGGAGTCAAGATTTGGTGAGTGTGATATCACCCATCAGGCGCATTGCTCTTCTCTGGATGGAATCTAAGATCATCAGCGTATGTTCGGGTGCTGAACCCCATACATGGGTACAGTATTCTAATACTAGCTGTATCTGTGCGTCGTAGATCATGAGAAGCTGTTGCGGTGTAAAGTAGATTTTCGCACGGAACAAGAAACAGTCCACTCTTGACCCAAAGTTTTATTTCAACTATTTACGAATTCGTCAACTATTACTAGTGAAATCAGTGCGCACAATACAGATGATTTCGACTGAAGGAAGAGAGAGAGAAGAAATGGGATTTTCGCAAAAAATTAGATAACACCTTGTTGATATATCGGAAACAATGCAGTTGTTGAAAAAGGTACTTAATTTGAATTCACCTCAATGTCTTCTAGATAGGGCTGCAGTTTGAAGTAATCCGTTTTATGATGAAACACCATATACCAATTTGTCATTTCAACTTATCAGAAGTTATCAGATCATCAAAAGGTGTTTGATTACCATCATTTATTTTTTATGTGGTCTAATCCAATAGTATCTATTCTGTAATGCATGAGTACGTTTTCATGCAATATCATTCGCATTTGATAATTTGTTAGCGAAATAGTTATTTTTCTACAAACGTCAAAAAATGACAAGGTTCGCGCATTGATGACAAATTGCGAAGTGACACTTTTTTTCAGTTTCCTACGTTACCATGATACCTCGCACAAAACAATGCGCGAAGTAAAACAGTGCGCGAAGTACCTACTTCGCGCATTGTTAGGTAAAATATATGAGATATTCATATTTCAACTTTATGGTCCTCAATCGAGCAAACATCCACGAAATCATTTATTTCTGAATGTTCAACAATAATTTTGTTTTATCTCTTGGAGCGCACGATAGAAAATTCCTATTATGTTCGTGGAACATCGTGTATATCTAGGGAGGATAGGGGGAGGCCTTTTAAGCCAGTTCAACACTATTTTTTATATCAAGCTAAGCATATTTTTATTTTGAACTATCTTTTTTGGCGTTTGTAGAAAAAATTTTGTTTGCAACTCGAGCGCGAAATACTTTGGTCATCTCGACTATTTTTTTAACTCGGCTACGCCTCGTCAAAAAAATCAGATCTCGATCACCAAAGTAGCATTTCGCGCTCTAGATACAAAAATAACTATTGTATGCCTAGGCCGCGAAATAACTTTTTGGCGTTTCGAAAGAAAAGTTTTCGCCGAGGCCGCTTGCGACCGATGCAAGACCCCAATAAACTTAGCAGAACCACTTCAATATTTCGGATTTGCAATAGTACTATAATTTGTTACTAATTTAGTACTAATTTATTACCATATTCGCAAATTTATTACTCTTCATTAAACAGAAAAAACAAACGGCTCTGCTAGCTTTATGTCAACCTAGCAGAACCATAGCTGAAAATTTAATATTTTGAAAATTTTGAATATACCATAATATATAACTATTTAGTTACTAACTTATAACTATAATCACGAATTTTTTACTCATCATTTGAAAAATCATCATGAAAAATGAAGGCCGATTTGTCTATCTCGATCTCAACCTAGCAGAACCAAAACTCAAATCGCATGTTTTTTTTTGAAATTCTATTGAATTATCAATAAGTTACTAATTTATTACCACATTCGCAAAATTCTAACACTTCATTCAATAGGCAAAATCAACGGCTCTGCTATCTTTATGTCATCCTAGCAGAACCATAGCTAAAAATTCATCATTTTGAAAACTTCTAATATACCATAGTTTTTTACCATTTTATTACTAACTTATAATTTTACTATAATCACGAATTTTTCACTAATCATTTCAAGGAAAAAAAACGCCGATTTGTCTATCTCGATATCAACCTAACAGAACCAAAACTCAAATCACATGTTTTTTGAAACTGTTGAATCATCAATGAGTTACTAATTCATTACTAATTTATTGTCACATTCGCAAAATTCTAACAATTCATACAATATTCAAAATCGACGGTTCTGCTAACTTTATATCAACTCTAAGTTGACGGAAAGCTAGCAGAGCCGTTGGATTTTCTTGTTAAATGAAGTGTTAGAAATTTGCGAATGTGGTAATAAATAAAGAAATCTGCGAATAAGTTAGTAATAAAATAGTAATAAATTATGGTATATTTGAAGTTTGCAAAATAATAATTGTTTAGCTATGGCTCTGCTAGGTTGACAGCAAGCTAGCAGAGCCGTTAGTTTTCCCTGTTGAAGGAAGTGTTAGAAATTTGCGAATGTGGTAATAAATTAGTAATAAATTAGTAATTTATCGATGATACGACAGAATTTCAAAAAACATGTGATTTGAGTTTTGGTTCTGCTAGGTTGAGATCGAGATAGACAAATCGTCGTTTTTCTCCTTGAAATTATGAGCTAAAAATTCGTGATTATAGTTATAAGTTAGTAATAAAATAGTTATAAATTATGGTATATTTGAAATTTTCAAAATATTAAATTTTCAGCTATTATAGTTCTGCTAGGTTGACATAAAGATAGCAGAGCCGTTGGTTTTTTTCTGTTTAATGAAGAGTAGTAAATTTACGAATACGATAATAAATTAGTACTAAATTAGTAACAAATTATAGAACTATTGCGAATTCGAAATATTGAAATGGTTCTGCTAAGTTTATTGGGGTCGAGGCAAGATAATCCTGAGGTCGCTAAAAACTTTCGCGTCCATGTTATATACACGCTATTTTTCGTGCAATCGTCAGAATTATTGAATTAAATGATTGAAATTACATTTTGAATGAGAAAAAAACATTTTGACAGTTCAGTTCAGAATTGAAATGTTAAAACTGTCATCTTAAGAAAAAGTATGAATTTGTTTCCACAGAGTGGAAATAATTAGTTTAGCTATTATAAACAGATATGTTTCTAGTGGTAATAAAAACAATCAATCAATCCATAATGGAAAATTCATCATTTGAAACGGGGAGGGAAAACGTTCTAAAGAACTTACCATTCATCAAAATATCTTTTCCAATCCAATCGATGAATCTTCTGGTGAGGTTGTATAAACCGGCCATCGCACTCGGATTGAAAGTCGCATTGGTGCTGAGATACACTTGTGCATCACTATAATTGCTGTAATCTGGCATATTCTCCCCCAAATCCCTGAGCGCCACCTCAAGGTTCCTGTTGATTTTGTCAATGCTGTTGGCGAAGCTGCCATCTGTCAAATCGACAGCGACGAATAGGATGGCAAAGGTGGCTAACAATATCAGGATGTTCGTCGATCGTCTTGTGTCTCTACCAGCGTTGGCCGACTTCGATTTACTTCGAGCCATTATTCACAACTAACTCTAGAATTCAGGGATTAGATTCTAGATGCGAATTCATTTCATTCCGGTCCTAATCTTATCATTCGTTATCGTCCTATTGCGGAAAAATTGTTTATGGCGTAATTGCAGTAAGCCTCATTAGTTTTCCTGTGATGGCAGTATCGGTGAGCGTCATGAGATCTGAAACAATATAAATTTTATGATAAAATGCTTGGAAACAATTGCTTGTACCGAACAATGTCATTGGAATCAACACTGCAGAATTCATATGTGGCTAAGGAATCGTTGAGTGATGGGCGATACCTAAGCAGGAGATTTTGAAGAACTTGAATGCACAATTAGGTATCGAGCAATACGTCTTCATACGTTTCAAGATGAATTAATAATAAGATTCGTTTTACACAAATTCCCTCAGCAAGAGAACAATAATAGCACAACTTGCATAACATTCCGAGAGAATAGTCATTATTGCGACTATAGGCCGCGGGCTTTTCTGCCAGATGACAGGAAATGACAGATGTCAGTCCAGCTTGCTGGACAAACAAATAAATCTACAAATGCTTATTGTGCATTTATGTCATATTTTGAAATATTTTTTCTTCATTATGACTCAATTTTGTGCAATTGTGAAATGTGGAAGTAGAAGCGGCAGAGATAAGGTCTCTTTCGAGGTCTCTTTCCATTGATTCCCTTCGAATTTTGATAATAGGAAACATACTAATCCTCTTGCTGAGAAGGGACGTGAATTTTGTGGATTCAGGCAATTGAAAGAGCAAATCTAACTACTGAGACGTTGAAATGGGCAACAGTATGTTCAAAGTATTTCGTATGAAGTATGTTGAGAACCTAGGAAGCATAGTCATCATGAAAATTGAAATTTTTTTTTCATTTCAGGCATGTCAAGTGCATTGAATTATTTCCTGTGTATGCACTCTTTTTAAATACAAAATAGTTTATGTCATAAATTGAAATTTTAGGAAAGTCCTTCACAGCATCACTACAATCACCAAATTTCCATAAATAGGGATCACATCCATTGTTTTCTTTCAGCTCATCTAAATATCTCTTCTGGAGATCCATAGACAATGTATTGAAATAATCACTTTTATCAGCCATCTTACAAACAGTATTCAAGCAAGCAAGTAGAAAAATGATATCAATATACATTATGTTCCCTTCCTTTAGGTAAAAACCTATAATTTCCTCAGAATTTCAATTATAATATCATTAAATTATCATTGTTGTTTATGGAAATATGGTTTGTTCGTCCAGCAGGCTGATTGACAGCTAAAGACAGCTGTCATGTGACGTCACCTGCCCTCGCCCTATAGGTCGCGTGCGCTATGACCGACTGTGAAGGTAAAACATTGAAACACAACCTCACTTTTCTGTAAATCATTGAAACACAACCTCACTTTTCTTATTTGTTTACAAAGAAATCAAGGGATTGAAATAGCGCCAGTGTGAAGTAAAAACTGATTTTCTGGGTCTAATAGAAGTTGAAAAAGTCACTGCTGAACAATTGTATCTGACTTTAACAAAATATTTGAAAACTTTTAAACTAGATGTTGAAAATTTGGTGGGATCAGGCCCAGATGGAGCAAATAACTGATGTGGAAGAAATAATTCCCTATTCACATTGCTTAGAGCAGATAGTCCTGACTTGCAAATTGTAAAATGTATTATCCATCATTCTCTAAACAATGCAGCAAGTAAAGCCTCTGAATCATTACCCAGAAATTTAGATTTTATGTGTAGGGAAATCTTTAATTGGTTCCATTGCTGTCCTTTGAGAAGGACTGAATATAAACATTTATTTGATACTTTTGAGACGAATGAAAAAAAACATTTTGTTCAATTATCAGCTACAAGATGGTTATGTAGATATAATGTAATTAATATTATAATTGATCATTATGAAGAGCTAACAGTTTATTTTAATGCCATTATTGTTGATGAGGAAACATCATATTCCGCTCTTTAGTTAAAAGACATGTTGAATGATAAGGAAAATTTATTGTATTTGATTTGTTTGAAGCCAATACTCCATGAAAAATTAAATTTATCTTTTCAAAAATATTTCATAGAAATTGGAAAGGCTCATTCTGAAATTCAAAATTTGATTTTGTTTCTGGCTAAAACCATTATCAAACCTGTTTTTACTACTTGATACTAACTCATTGGCAATAATAATGAAAAATCTTGATAATGAATTGGCTTTTGCAAAACCTACAGATGCTCATTTGGGCATAGAATATTGCAGAGAAATAAAAAAAGTGGGTTTAAATGCATTTGAAATTGAAATCATTTTAAAAAATTAGAATACTTTTCTCCAAGTATCATTTTATCTCAGACATGCTGTAAAGATTTCGAAGGTGTTTCGTTTTTGAATATATTCGCCCCTGAGAAGGATATTTTCAAAATTGAGAATCAGTATGATATTATAAAAAGTGTTCAGTGTAAGGATTTATACGGATGTTTTAGATAATTCATATAAATTTTGGGAAAATGTTTAAAACCATAAAGATGCTGTGAGTAGACTAGTTTTTACAGAATTAGCTAATTTTGTTTTTACTTTATTGTCTCTACCAAGCAGCAATGCAACCGTTGAGCGTATTTTCAGTATCATGAATATTTAAAAAAAAAGAGGAATCGCATGTCTCTCCCTTTATTGAACTCCATTATACAACTAAGAGTTTTCTTCTTCACACAAAATATATGTTGTAACCCATTCAACCCGTCAAGAAAAATGATACAAAAATTCACCAACAGTATGTACAGCAATGATAACAATACTGAAGAAACAGACGAAGACGTACTATCTCTTCAGCTCATAGTTGAAGAGGATGCAGAATATCCTATTTTGTCGATTGATGAATAGGTAATATTATTGACATGAAACCTATAAATTTCAGTTCATGATGGTTTTTTTTTTTCAATAATAGGTGATATTTTTGTAGTTGTGCCTGTACCTAAGAAGACTTGCGAAATAATAAATAGATGCATTTTATAATTGCCATCTGAAGGGAATCTCATATTTTTGTTATTTATTTCATTTAGGTGTTTATTTTGGGTCTGGTCCGAATAGTCCGTTATGTAATATCATTGGTAATTATGCAATTATCATAATTTATCATTTGGTGCCATAATAGAATTTCATAAACATTGTATTTGTTGTTTTTTATTTTCTTAAATTTTCGATCCTAGATCTTAGGAGTATCTAGTTAGGATGGACACTATCTAAAAGTTTGATGTAAGATCTTTGATTGAAGGTTAATGGTATCTGTAATGTAATGGTATCAACTTTTCTTCTTTCACTAAAAGGTGGCGCTTAAGTGGCGCATTTCAATGTCAAATCAGGCGCATGAGGGTTTATAATACCTGGCAACACTGATATCAAATTAGTTGGAGTAGGTACTGTACAACACGTTATAGTTGATCTGCCTTTACTAACTTTTTTATAATACAAGGTGAGAAGACATAAAGAAATAAAGAGAGGAAGAAAGAAGGAGAGAGTTGTGATGAAGCAATTGTTCATACTTACTATAGTATGATAATGCTATGAAAAACACAGAACATACGAATCTTCCATTGATTTTCATGCTATGAAAAATTGTGTTGGTATTTCTTCTCGAAATTGTACTGGAAACGATATTCTATGAAGTAAAACCACAAGAGAGTGATACTAGATTGAAAATATTTCGATTTGTTATTGCCTAATGGCAACAAAAAAGATCAGCCGATCTGTGTGTAGTTTGTCGAGTTCTCGAGAGGTATTCGGTAGATTATTAAAGTGCTCAAAGAATTAAGCGAACCACTCGAATTTTAGTTTTTTAAAATGCGTTAACTTTTTTGCAAATCAACCGATTTTCAATCGGAATGCAGTGTTCAAAAATGCGTCCTTTCTGTTAAAGAATCATTGTTCGAAACTTTTAGAAGTTTTCCAGTTATGACATACCAAATGTTCAAGAAGAGTGTTACATAATCGAAAAAGTTTAGGAGCTTCCGTATTCCCCAGGAATTTTTTCATCCTTCTGCAAATCAACTTTCTCTAATCTTCAAGTCAATATCTCGAAATGGTTTTGGAATTTCTGACTCTCTTTGTGCATATCTGTGGATATTAAAAAGTTCAGATGATATTCAAACCGTACTGCACTGTAATACGATCGAATTCATTCCTAGTGAAGTTATCCATCTGGCTTGAGGAGCAGAAGAACTTTCGACAAAATGATCGTTTTTCGAATAATGTGTGAGATTTTATGAAATAATGTAATATTCTCTCAATATTGATTCGTTCTTCTTCCTGTGACAGAAAAAAATTGTATATTATACACGAAAAAAATATTAGATTTTAGCTCACGGTTTTTTGTCTCCCACCGCTACGCGTCGGAAGGCAACACAACCTCGAGCTAAAATCTACTACTTTTTTTCACTTGTATGGTAAATAACTATTTATACGATGAATTGATGAAAAAAAATCTGAAAAATAGTTATTTATGTATCAAGGGCGTAAATAGGCTTTTATGGACCGCAGCGTGTAAGTAATAGACCGAGCGATAGCGAGGGCTATTAACACGCCTAGGTCCATAAAAGCTAGTTACGCCCGAAATACATACAACATTTTATGCACGACCTGTATATATTTGATATCTCATGTAGGTATCTCTTCACCCCTCAAGCACAATAAAAATACATCACGGTTGCAGTGAGACTGTATTGTATCCATATCGCAAATACAATTAATCAAGAAGTATGGAATCAACGTTACCATGGCAACTCAGTCAATTTTCCGAAATAGGAATTAATAGGCTAGTAGCCATATTAACTGTCAATTTGTGTAATCATACATAATTCATTAGTGATTTCAAAATGAATTCTAGTGATGAAGAAAGTGTGAATTGTACTCCACCAGAAATTAGTGAGGCAGCTGAGGAAGCAAAATCGAGTTTATTGCCAAGTAAATAAAAAAAAAATACACGACAAAGTATACGAAGAATTCGTAAGCTGGTGCGACAGAAATGATGTACAAAATAAGAACTACACTGAAAGTGTGCTTCTTGCCTATTTTCTGGAAAGATCAAAATCTCGTAAACCCTCTTCCATGTGGTCATATTATTCCATGTTGAAAGCTACTTTAAATGTACATGATAATTGAAACCATTGGAATCTAGATTTCTATC